AGAAAGCATCGCGAGAAACAAAGACCGGTGCACCTTGCCTTCCTAGATTTGGAGAAGGCATTCGACCGCGTTCCGCGGGACGTTATATGGTATGCCTTACGACAGCATGGCGTGCCTGAAGAGCTCGTCGAGTGGGTGCGCATCCTTTACTCGAGTCCAAAGAGCCGAGTGCAAACGGCAGCAGGAACATCGATGGATTTTCCCATCTCTGTCGGGGTACATCAAGGCTCTGCGTTATCCCCACTCCTATTTGTTGTCGTCATGGATGCCATTACGAGAGATCTCCAGAAGCCGGCTCCATGGACGCTTCTTTATGCTGATGACGTGATGCTCGCTAGCGAAGATAAAAGCACGCTCGAGCAACAGGTACAAGCCTGGTCCGATCGTCTAGCTATGTTCGGGCTCAAGCTGAACGTTAAGAAGACTGAGTACTTGACCACCGATTCGAGTGAGTTAGGCTCTATTAAGATCAATGGTACTGAACTCACTCGTGCAACATCATTCAAGTATCTTGGATCAGCAATCGCGTCTGACGGCAGCCTGGTCTTCGAAACGAATTCTCGCGTGAATGCAGCCTGGTCGAAATGGCGCTCGATGACTGGCGTTCTCTGCGATAAAAACATGCCAGAACGTCTCAAATCTAAGATCTATAGGACCGTCATCCGGCCGGTCGCGATTTACGGTGCTGAGTGCTGGCCTACGACTAAAGAGATCGAAGCACGGCTCAGTGTGATGGAGACCAAGATGCTGCGATGGACAGCCGGAGTCACACGAGTAGACCACATCCGAAACGATGTCATCAGAGAGCGATTCGGGGTGGCTCCAATTGTCGACAAGATGCGCGAAGCCCGTCTTCGATGGTATGGTCATGTCCTTCGCGCGAAAGATGACAGTGTCTGTAAGATCGGTCTCAACCTTGACGTGCCCGGAAAGCGGCCTAGGGGGCGCCCGAAGCAGCGATGGCTCGATACGTTGCACGTAGACTTGAAGTCAGTTAATATCCACCCCGATCAAGCATTTAATCGGGAAAAGTGGCGTCAACACATAAGAAAAGCGGACCCCGCTTACAAGCGGGACAGACGCTAAAGAATAAGAAGAAGAAGAAGAAGAAGTAGTATAGTGGGTTGGAATCGAGTTACTATCACAGTATGTCTGGTTTGATTAAATGGGAACAAGAAATGCGGCCGTTACACGGCATCGAGGATTATTATCACACACACGGAAACGCTGAACGCAGCGCATCAGGACGTCATGCACCTTCGCTCGTATGGCCTTAATAAGAGCGCTTCTGCTACCAGAGTAGCTCTTCTCCCACATTTGAACAGCTAGTCTTAGTGCCTAGCTTGATGAGTATTGTAATGGTAGCAGAAAGAAGCTCCCGGGACTCTTTGGGTCAAACTACCATATAACCACCACTAATCTGATTGACAGTGCAAAAGAATGCTTGTTTCGTGGAAATTAGAAGACTTCACTAACCGAAAGGATTCCATTTCAGCTAAGACGTTCATGAAATGAACACCGTGTGTACCTGAACGAACTGCCCGCAACAACGGCAAAAGACCTGTGGATCAAGATTTATAAGTTGCAAATGCCATGTACCTTTGTTACTGATGTGCGTGCATCGTTGTGATTCATTACAGGCCGGAGAGAGGGTATGAAACAACACAGCTCAAGTCAAATTTTTGTTCGTCAAGCCATGACCCACGAGGAATTCCTTAATCTATTTTAGCTTGATGTTTTTTTTTTTTTTTTTTTTTTTTTTTTTTTTTTTTTTTTTTTTTTTTTTTTTTTTTTTTTTTTTTTTTTTTTTTTTAGTTGCTATCCTGCTCCAATCTTTCTAACTTTACTGAACCACATTCATCTTGTCATCGTATTTGTGCCCGCCCTGCATTTTCATCCTTGCAATCCTGCAAGTAATTCACTAGTGGTTAGGTATGCCGTTGTGTTTTATCTGTAATAATTATTTAATTAATACCTTTAATAAGTTTAATTTATAAGCTGAGGATTGGGGTTGTGTGGCATTATGTCACGCCACATCCTTTCGGCCGCATGGGACTGTGTGAAAGGATCTCATGTCACATTCATGCGGCCAGTAGGGAACGCGCGGTCCCACATGTCATACAGCGAAAACGAGCGCGTGTCGTCGACGTGTTAAACTGCTGCCTCGAAGTGGTATGTAGAAAACTTCCATCCTAGCCAACGTTTCGACGGAGCCTGCGGTGTGTCAAAGGCCTGAGCAGCGTTGGTAAAGCTGCCGGTTGTACGCCTTACCCTATCAAACGCCTTCTCAGCGATCCGTGACATATTGCCAGAAACGCACAGAACACAGGACGCAAAAGGTAAGTGACCTCATTTGCACCGAGACTTGTAGCCGGGGCTACAAATCAGTACACATGAGAGCGAATGACCTTTACTTCGTTGTCTTGATGCAATTCTTATAATGAGGATTCAAGATGAAGAGCTCAGAATTTCATCTTTGTGCTACTGATATTTCTTCAGAAGTTCTAAAACATGGGACTTTATAGAGGAATGATGCACTCACGTTGTAGAACATTCATGAACGTCAATGATTACCAATCAATATTCGTATATAGTTCGCGTTCAGCAGGACCAACTAGCTAGAAAGCGAAAGTTTTTACTTTGGGCAAGAACTAGCGCCAGAAATGTCCAATTGTCACCAGATTATAGAGGTTTGAAGCTTTCTGGCGAGTGGACTTCCCTACTGGTAATTATGAACTATCGAGCACCAACACAGTGAACGTAGCAGCCACCCTTTGTCACTTTGGGATGACATGGAAGAAATGAACAAAAAACATGGGAGCGCGTCTGTGTTATAAAGAGCGCATCAAGTATTATGTCATAGAAGAGTCATTTGCGAGAAAAAGTTGATTTTCGGCAGTGCAAAGGCAAAAGTATCCACATAATTGTGAGATTTTAGGAGACAATTTTTATAGAGAGGGACGAAATATAGATAGAGGAGGATGAAGTACAGCCAGACAGAACAAGTGCTAGAAGAGAACAAACGACTAGAGTGACTAGAGTCTAGGAGAGCCTGTATAATGATTACAAGGAAAGTACAATAACATATAAGCACCATGAAGGTAGTGCAGCAGCCGTGCTACGCTGCTGCGTGGTAAATCTTGAATCGAAGCGCGCGTCTGAATGACATCCTGTTAATGTGGAGTAGTGGTAACGAGACGACGTACCTGCATAGGATTTTACACTTTGCAGCAAGGGTTGTGAACGAAACCACGTCCGAGAAAAACACAGTCACGCTTTCAAACGTTTCGGGTTCGACAGATTGACCAAGTTTCAACTTTTCGGCCACTTGTCTTTGAAATAGCAGAGTAGATTGAGCGCAGGCACGCAATACAGATAAACGTAGATTATCACTGCCACATAGCGAAAGTAGAGTCTGAGGGAACCTTCGTACGGAAGGGCTTCCTATTTGCTTTGTGGCAATGATCCACCTACATTGTTTTCGCTTTTGCTGTTAACGTAGGTGGCAGTGTTCACCTATACGTAAACAGCGAAAGTGCCGCACCTGATGCTGAGAGCTCAACAACTAGTTGTCAGAGGTTGCAAAACTCTTCATCCCGCAGGATATTGCTCGATTTTTGGTTCTCACCTGGGTAGCATTCGATACAGCAGGATATCACTCTTCTTTTGCTCCTCTGCTAACTGCTTCGTTCTGTCCTCAACCTCTCCCTCTAACGTAGAAGCGTACTGCTCAAGCATATTGAAAACATAGTCCATCAGGTTCCCACTTCTAAAGAGAAGGAAATATCACATCAGAGAGGAAGCGTCACATGGCGCATACTGACAACTATTGAAGACGGAAGAAAGGTCAGCATTCTGCATGGTTCACATTTTTGGGTTGTTTTTGCTGGCTTGTCGCGATTGCGCTTATAAAATGCGTATCAATCAAATTCGGCTGCTACAGGTCAAGGAAGGAGTGTCCGCGATAAGAACAAAGGCCAAGCAGGAAGAAATTCTCCTACTGGGAGAGCAGAGCTGAGGGTACTGATCGACGCGCGATAGGCGAGCTTGGCAACGAAGATTTGAACTCGGCGATCTAGCATGGCTCACTCTTGGCGCGGTTGGCGGGGTACGCCCACCGACTATCTAATCACTTGCCGCAGGTCTATACGTGGCGAGTGATCAGATAGCAGAGAGAGCGTAGTGTTGAAGAGGGCACAGCGATGAGAGTCGCATCAATGCGCAAATCAACGGGCAAGGAAGGGGTCCCTCTAACGTGTTCCAGGCCGTTTCAAATGCTTCTTCTCCATCCCTGCTGCACCGACTAGTTGTACCCTTCTTTCTAATGAGTTAACTTTCACCGTAAATTCTGCCTTTTCAATTCGACCAGACTTTAGTTGCGCGCAGCCAAATTACTATGTGCCAGAAATTCTGAATGAGCCTCTGACAAGTTCTTAGAAAATGCCAAGAAAGGATTTTACCCTCGCCGAGTACTGAATCCAAAAAAGCGTCTATGAACTTTAAAATGGACTATCTCAGGCAGGACGGCTTTTTTTTGCGAATCTGTTTCATTAGGATGCAAGAGCAGAGGGGGGGGCCCCGGGGGGGGGGAGGAGCGAGATCCACGTGACGCTGCCGCCTAGAGAGAAATCGAGTTTCGTCCAGAGCTGCCGATTACGGCCAAAACATATTTCACAGCACTAATCACAGAGTTGTTGAAGCGAACTTCTGTTGGAAGCATCTTCTGCGTTCTTGATTGATTCTTGATTTTTCATGACATCCCTCCACCTTTTCACCGCGGTCGCTTGCCATACGTTCAAAGTCTCCATACCACTATCGTGACAGCCGCACCTCCAGTTGACCATGAAAAATGGCAGTCGCCATATTCTTTTTTGTGACCCAGGCTTATCTCCGCATCCTCATTTCCGTGGAGTGAAGCTTTCTTTCGTGGAAGCATCTTAAAGCACCTTCGACTGCGAAGGATCCTAGTGGACATCCTCCATTTCATTCGCGTTAATCCACCCTTCACTACCTTCAGCGGCCTGACCGATCCCATGATATCGGAGATCCCACATTCTTACTTCTAGCGTTTACGAATAGCTCCGCACCAGCCTCTGTTCACAATTTTGGTGTTCTTGACATTCAACAGTATCCCTCCTTCTGTTGATCAAGCATTTCAACACATACAGCTATTTCTGTACCTTGCCCTGAGGTTCTCCTTTGCTATCTTTATCACGTAAGCCGCTAACATGGCCTTGGGTGGCCCCTCCAGGAGCCCGCTCCGACGTCTAGCGATAACAAAAAGAAGGACGGACTCAACGCTGATCCGTGGTGTGCACCCCCTCTCATTGATGCACATTTCCTTTCGTAAAACAGTGCGGAGTACACCAAGATGGCATGGTGCTTGAATCCAAAATGTTCCAGAAAATTCTGGACCAGCAGCTTTGCATGGAGATGACAGGCTGCTCGTACAACTCCATGCAGTCGGCATGAGTTCGCAGTTGTTGAAATCTTTCGTGTCCCACTTTTGATTCCACTCAAACATAGAGAAGAAAATTCTAAATTTTCAGGCAACCGACATCCTTAGCGCGGCTATAGTGTTGACGAATCGGGAGAGCCTCTTCATACTGTGACTAATGAGCGTCCTCTATGGCTCGAATGGTTCTCTATCACTCAACCATCACGCTTTCTGGTTCTCAACGAACCTCTTCCACCGTCCAGCCGGGACCAGCCGTCACCTCAACTCGTTGCCCTTGTGGGAGTCACCTCGTTCGGACGTCCATTGAAGTAATGTTCCAAACTCCTCGTGAGTAGGCTGACTTCTCTAGGATTGCACAAATGGTTTTTTAACATCCCTTTATCAGTCCGATGCTTTGAGTAGCTCGGTACCGAGATTCAGCGAGCTTGGAGACTATCTTCTCTGTTATGTGCTTTTCGTCGTGTTTCGGTGTTTCGGAACGCGCCGTTTTGTCCTCAGTGGTCCCACATTATCTCTTCCACAATACATACTCCCTCAATCAGTCTCCGAAGGGCAATGGAGAAAGTCATCCACGACTTCTACTCGGATCTCTTCGATAGCCATGTCCATCTGCCCACTTATCAACTGCAACAGGATGGATACGTCGTCCCCTCAGTTCTCTCTTCCGAAGTCCGACACGCCATCAAGTCGGTGAAGAATCGTACAGCACCCGGTCTCGACAGGGTCAAACCGGAACATCTGAAGAATGCGCCGCCAGTTATCATCAAAACTCTGGCTCGACTCTTCACGCGCTACCTGTCGGAATGCAAGGTACCCACTCCGTGGAAAACCAGCAGGACCGTGTTGCTGTACAAGAAGGGAGACTTGGACGACATTGGCAACTATCGCCCAATCTGCCTGCTGTCTGTAATCTACAAGCTATTCACTCGAGTCATCCTTAACAGGATCGGCAGAATACAGCATGCTCAACGGATATCCACACGGTTACGAGATCCATTAAAGACCAGAATTTCACCATTCTACAACGTTGCTCAACAGGGCGACACAGTCTTGCCGAAACTCTTCAGCGCCGCTCTCGTCAATTGGAACTGGGAAGACATGGGAGTGAAGGTCGACGGCCGGCAACTACACCACCTTCGTTTTGCTGACGACATCGTTCTTATAACGCCGAACATCGAGCAAGCGGAGCGAATGCTGGCTGATTTCGACTGCGCCTGTGGTAAGGTTGGTCTACAGCTGAACCTAACGAAGACGATGTTTATGAGAAACGGATTGGTTCCTGATGCCCCATTCACGCTCAACGGAACGAACATCACCGAATGCTCCAGCTACGTGTACCTAGGTCGGGAAATCAATATGATGAACGATCTAGCTCCAGAGCTGAGCAGGAGGAAACGAGCGGCTTGGGGAGCGTATAAGAACATCGAGGGAGTAGTGAAGAAGACGAAGAACATCCGGCTCCGTGCCCCACCTCTTCGATTCCGCTGTCCTTCCTGCCCTAACCCCCGCCTCAGAGACTTGGACTCTGCGCAGGCAGGACGAGCATGCGGTCAGCGTTATCCAACGCGCTGTCGAGAGGACGATGCTAGGAGTAACCCTATACACGCAAGTGCAGAGGGGAATCCGGAGTGCCGAACTACGCCAACGATCGAAGATCAGGGACGCTGCCGTTTTCGCCAAGGAATCGAAGATAAGGTGGGCCGGACACGTCATGCGATTTTGTGATGACCATTGCGATCAGAGCGGTTACCGACTGGATCCCTCGGGACGTCAAACGAACACCTGGACGACCGCCGGCCTCAATGGTAAGACTACTTCACAAATGCCCTGAACGGGAGGAATGAAGGAACTCCTGTAACTCGAGCGAGGAGGGTCCAGTGGCTCTCGCACGCTACAGGGACGAATGGATATGTTGCTGGCGCCTGCTCGAGCAAATCGATGATTAGTGAGGCAGAAGAATCGAGAATAGACTCTAAAAGAGGAGCAAGTTTCTCTTCATCCGAGTTTCGCATGTGATGAGTGAAAATTTGTGCCAGTCCCCATCACCGAAAATTACGTTCCGGAAATCAGAAGGCGCATTCTGAGCGAAATCATAATTTTTGGAAACAGCCATACCTATTCGAATCATGTTCTTCAAATTCGATTTCACGATGTTGATAGGCGGCCTCTCAGAAGGGCGTTCTGTCCAGCAGTCACGAATGAGATGAAGCTGAATTGTAGGTACAGTGAATTAACGCCATAGAGTGTATATGAAAACAGTTCCAGTTTTCTAAGACACCAGTTCCACTTTCTCTTGTTTTTCTCAGCACATTGGCCATCGCCGAACGCCCTGCGTCACCCTCGTCTCTAAGTACGCTTATTCTCCATTGCTGCGCAAATATCGATTTGTGGGGTGGTCATAACATGGTTGTTTGTGCTACCTTTTCCAGGATAGTGTTATAGCAGCTTTGGTTGCGCCTAACTAAAAATAACATTTTAGAGGTGGTGATTGAAGACATCTATGAATGTATGTAAAGGTAGCCATTTCAAGTCGAGGTTTTTGAAGCCTATTTCATGATTTTTTCACTTGAAAGTATTTCAGTTATTCTCTCATGCTTTTACATCGAATCATATACCATTCGAAAGAGAATTGTCTGCTCTACAAGATGTTGTGTTCTTCTTCCATCTATGTTCCATGGTTTTTCAAATTTTAGGCCTGCGAAATGGGAGGTCCAGCCGACAAAAATTGACCAAACCGACAACTATCTCTAACTTTATCTTCCCTTGGGAGAAATCAATCAATGATGTACCCTCTACTTATGCATGACCTCTTCTAAACATTACACTATTAGGTTTCCCAACAAGTCGCGTCATTCCATTTCCAGACCTGGTTTTTCAACCAGAACTCGACGGTCAAGCACCATTACCTGAGATCGAGGTCGAAATTTTTTTATAGCCGAGACATTGAAAAACTAGTAGAATTTAACACATTGACGACAACGCGGGGGATATATATCCCGCGCATTGCAGGCCGTGTCGGACCGTGCGGGGGATATATCCCCCGCACCCATTACACTAATTTTTTTCGCGCACGCCTGGTTCTTCTAGAAGTTTCTTGTAATTATTGAATGGAGGAGACCTTGACCTAGCTAAAAACATAGTGGTCCATAGAATGGTCACGTATGCTTCAATTTAGAGGAGGATTTCTGAACCATACGAAATCTTCAGCCTAATAAATTTTTCGTTTACTTTTTCTTCCTATGAATGTGAAGGTTTAAATAGTAGTAGAAGTAGATACGGTACCTTAGAGATGACAATA